TTCCTTCCTTCCTTCCTTCCTTCCTTCCTTCCTTCCTTCCTTCCTTCCTTCCTTCCTTCCTTCCTTCCTTTCTGCCTGCTTACAGCATGTAGAAAATAGAGGACCCAAAGAAATCTTATTTTGAAATCCTTTTGTTTTATGACAGTTTTGCATAGCTCAGACTGGCCTTGAACTCACTTCATATGTAGTGGAGGATACCCTTGACCTTCTTGTTTGTTTGATAGGTTTGTTTGTTACATAGGTCTCTGTAGAAGGAATGGCAGCCCGTCCGGCTAGCTTTACCCGAAATAATTACATGGAAACTGTATTCATTTAAACACTGCCTGGCCCATTATCTGTAGCATCTTATTGGCTAACTCTCTCATATTGATTCAACCCATTTCTAATAATCTGTATCTCGCCACGAGCTCATGGCTTACTGGGAAAGATTCAGCATGTCTGACCTGGTAGCTTCATGGCGGGCAGCTCTCTGCCTCTTCTTCTTTCACCCAGCATTCTATTCTGTCTACTCCACCCACCTAAGGGCTGGCCTATCAAAAAGGCCAAGGCAATCTCTTTATTAACCAATGAAAGTAACACATAGACAGATGACCCTCCTCCATCAGATCTCACTATGTAGCACTGACTAGCCCACATGAAATCTACTTACTTCTGCTTCCTGAGTGCTAGAATTAAAGGTATGTGCTACCATGCCTGGTTTATCCTCAACCTTCTAATTCTTCTGCCTCAACCTTCCCAGGGCTGAGATTACAGCCATGCCCCTCTAGGCTAGTTTTATGTAGCGTTGGGGTGCAAACCCTGAGTGTTGTGCAAGCTGAGGGCACTCTCTACCAGTTGCCAGTCCTTTCCTCTTGCTTTCAGTTCCAGCCAGGAGGGATTTATTAACAGAACTCTCCAGATATAACAAATAGAAAGTGTTCTCTCAGTCTGGCTTTGTCCTGCCTCTGCTGTGAAGACCGCATCACTAACTCCTTCTGAGAAGGCTGCTCTCACCTTTGGGCCGACGTCAGGCTGCTGTGAAATCACGCAGTGGGATTTTTCAGCCAAATGCATGATGTGGGTCTGCACTCTGAAGTCAGCACTGTTTTTGAGACCTGTTTAATGGCTAAAGAGGCCAGAAAAAAGTTAAGTTTTCTTTCCCAGGTCTCAAAACTCCTGGCTCCTTTTCATTGGTCTATGAATTTTGCAGGAAGATTATACTTTTGTCTTTATCTCAATCCATTCTCTCTGTCTCTGTTGCTCCCTTCTTTATCTTCCGCAAAAATAAAAACAAAACACCTACCTTTTCAAGATGTTGTTTGGAAATTTCCTTTGCCAGTTTTACAAACTGACTGCTAAGTTTTCACCTTTCAGATCACCGCAGCCAACAGCCCGGACGGTTTCTCCACCACTTGTCACCGCTGGCCATTTCCTAGGCACTAAGGCAGTTTGTTACCAACCTTGGATGGTAACGTTCCCGTCTCTGTTTCCCATGTGTCCCCAAGCTGATGCTGTTAGTAGAACTTGTCTTAGCTACTGTTTTAGTGCTGTGACAAAGACACCATGACCAAGGCAACTGCTAAAAGAGAGCATCTCATTGGAAACCTGCTTCCAGCTTCAAAGGGTGAGTCCAAGGCCACCATAGCAGCAGGATTAGTGGCAGGCAGGCCTGGCACTGGAGCGGTAGCTGAGAGCTGACATCTGATCCCTAGTAGGAAGCAGAGAGACAGAGACACAGAGAGACTGAGACAGAGCAAGACAGAGAGAGGAAGAGAGTGAGTAAGACTTTTTGAAACCTTGAAGCCCACCTCCAGTGACACACCTCCTCCAACCAGGTCACTAATCCTTGTTAAACAGTCCACCAAACGGAACCAGACATTCAAGTGTATGAGCCTATGGGGCTATTCTCATTCAAACCATCACATTCCTGACAATGCTCTCTGTGTCAGTTAGCGCTTCCTGAGTCACACACTGTCCAAAACCGTGTGGGTAGTGAAAATGTTTATTCTCATGGTTTTTGGAGAACCTGTAGCTTTTTCCCCCTAAAAATAAGCTTGACTAAAGCTGGGTTGTCTAGGATGACTTCACACACATGCAGTGAGTGTTTTCCAGTCGTGGAACAAGAGCTGAGTGTCTGCCATCACCTGCAGCCAAACCCAGGTTCATTCACATGTAACAAAGTCACAGTGTGCAGAGGGTACTTCAGTAATTCGTAGACCACCCTTTGCAATCTCCTGCCATTCTCCCCCCACCCCGACTTCCATTTAGTCCACCATCTTGATTGTGAGTGGAATGGCTCTCTTAGCCATGTAATTAGTTCCCTCCCCAGTTATGACTGGGTTTCTCATTATGCCACCTGAATAAGACTTTGCAGATTTGCTAATACGATACATTTGACTCAATAGTTATTCAGTCTTTCATTAAACTTACTTCATTTGGTCTTATGGGTAAGTCTAAATCTTCCTAACTTATATTTGAAAATTGCATACAAAAATGATTAGCAACTAGTCCCATGCTGAGTTGAAGATGTCATTTTTGGGGAAGCACCTCTTTGGGAAGTACCCTTTTCACACCCTTTGCTTACCATTAGGGCATTGACATTTTCCACAAGACTCACCTTGCCCATAAGATGAATATTTAATATAATTATAACTTAAAAGAATAGATAAACATAACTTAAAAGAATAGATGAACACAGAGAGCTGGCTCCTGTTGCTTTTACTGAGGAACTGAGTGTAGTTTCTAGCCCACATCAGGTGGCTCACAACTGCTGTAGGGTAATGCTCTTGTACACTGTAAAGATTTGTCATTCACATTGGTTTAATAAATTGCTGATTGGCCAGTATTCAAGCAGGAAGTACAGGTGGGGCAACTGGACTAGGAGAATTCTGTAAAGAGGAAAGGCAGAGAGAGACACATTCACAAGCCAGACACAGAGGACGCAAAATGAGAGTGGTTTACTGAGAAAAGGTACCAAGCCACATGGCTAAACATGGACAAGAATTATGGGTTAATTTCAGTTGTAAGAGCTAGTTAGTAATAAGCCTGAGCAATAGGCCAAACAGTTTATAATTATTATATTACTATAAGCCTCTCTGTATTTCTTTGGGATTGAATGGCTGTAGGAATGGGCAGGACAGAAATTTCTGTCTACACACAACCACTGGCAACTCCAGATCCAGAGGAATGCCTTTAGTCTCTGTGAATACCTACCTGCTCACTACCTTATACATATACATATCATTAAAAATAATAAAGTAAATCATCTTTAAAAATATTTGAATATGGTAATAAAGTCACACAAAAGTTTTAAAAAAATAAGTCTGTTTCCTCTACATTGGTATTAATACATTCTGAAAAAGAGAGAATTTAAGAGAGACCCATGTGGAGAGCAGGAAATGCCATTATGTCTTAGGGAAATCATCTCCTTAAAGCTTCTGCGTTCTTATATCCATCAAAGGAATCATTTATTTCTCTCATAAATCTGTAATGATGGCACAGTTGCACATAATGGTTTGCAATTTCCTTTGGTCAGCAAAGAGAAAAATGAAAGAGGCAAACCTCCGCGTGAGCCCAGTAATGTCTACCCAATATGTCTCAAAAGCCCCTGAGATGGCAACCCTAAACGAGCCTGCTTGCTGAAAGGCGCTATCGAGTGGATGAGCTTCTAGTCACAAATGGAATACACATAATGAGGTGATTTCTTCTTCCCCACATAACTGAAATGCCAGTCACAGTTCCCTGCAATGAGCAAGGCTGACCTGTAATAGAATCATCAGCCAGACAGACCTGTAATAGGATCATCATCATCTCCTATTCCAATCACATTTAAAAACTTACACTTATGAACTAAATGCTCAAATTCATGGCTTGCTACTTCAAGGTGGTTTCTTCTCCTCTTAAACTGCAGAGTTTCTGTTCAAATAAGTAATCCCACTTTAAAGTTTTTGTTTTAGCTCTGAACTAGACGCCCTTGAGTGTGGATTTTTGTTACGTACTGACTTTATTAGGTTAATAAACTGACTTTATTTCTTCTTTATTAGGACTTTCTAAAGAAAAAGTGGTGGCCCCTAAACCCTTGGTATTAAAGACAGTAGAGTTTTTATCATAAGAAACAACTTTCTGTTTTAATGTAAGCTTATAGTCATGTTGCTAAGGACTACATATAAAAAGTCAACAAAACTGAGAACAACTGAACTGCTTGAAGTAATTACTTTGTGAAGTAGTCACCGCAATGACTGTAAGATAAACTCACTGTCACCAAAGGGCAGTCACTGATTTTCTATGAAGCTGAAGTACAGTGAGCGTGTTGCTTTTAACCCTGTATGACATCAACATTAGCACCATTGCTTAAACATCTGATGCCTCTGGTCTAGAACATTTCATTGCTCTCAATGACCTTTCTTGCGTCGCTCCCATCAAGGTGATTTTCCTCAGCGCTCACCCCCAAGTTCAGAAGTTGTAAGTATTTATTGTCTTTCCGACGGAATAAATCCCAGATTCAAGGCTGTGAGTAGGAATCACATTTACTTTCTACCTTCATTTTCATCTAATAATCTAAGAGGCGAGGTTGACCCTGGCTCAGTTCCCAATCTTACTTCGTCTAGTGTCAGCCGAAGTCTTTTTCACTGAAGATGCTGAGCGGTTCACATGCCAGAAGGACAAAGAGTCTTATATTTCATGCAGACAGAAATTTCAAAGTTTCTAATTTTTTATTATTATTTATGTGTATGGGTAATTTGCCTGCATACATGTCTATACCAGACCACATGAGTGTCTGGTGCCTCAGAGGCCAGGAGAGGCTGTCGGAGTTGCTGGAATCAGAGTTACAGACAGTTGTGAGCCACCGCATGGGTGTTGGAATCTGAGCCCAGGTCCTCTGGAAGAGCAGCTGTTCCTAACTGGTAAATTGTTTCTCTAGCTCAGATGTCAAGGTTATTTTGTTTTTGTTTAGTTTGCTGTTGTTTTTTTTGTTTTGTTTTTGTTTTTGTTTTTTTTTGAGATAGTGTTTATTAGGTAGCTCTGACTGTCCTGGAATTCACTGAGCAGACTGGGTCAACCTTGAAGTCACAGAGATCTGCCTGCTTTTGCCTCCTGAGTCCTGGGATTAAAGGTACCACCTCACCAGGAGATCTCAATGTTTTAATGGATCTGAAGACTCCGCATTGTTTTAACGTGAATTTGTCTTCCCGACAGGACCCAGAATCACCTAGGATGTAAACCTCTGGATATGTCCGTGGGCGATTAATTAATAATTGTAATAGTTAATCACAATTAAGGCCCCACCCACCTTAATCATGAGAAGCACCCTCGCACGGTCTGAGAACAGGATGGAAGGACTGTCTTCATCCGATGTAATATGGCCGGCTCCCCGAAGCTCCCGTGGCCATGACTTCCAGGCCATGGCGGGCTGTCCTCTGGAACCATGAACCCAAATAAGCCCCTCCTTCTTACAGTGGCTTTTGTCACAGCAACAAACAGGTAGCTAATACAGCTCAGTACTGGTCCAGACCCTGTCATTTAGATTCAACAAATATTTATTAGAAATTCTTTATTTATGCAGCATTTTGCACAAAACGTTATTGTGTAATCTTCAAGACAGAATTGCTGGGTATTATCACAGTCAGTTTTCAGACAAGGAGGCCGCGCTAAGAGGTTAGAAAACATCTGCCTGTGCCTTGGGGCTGGCGGGGAGGGGCCAGAGTGTGCAAAGCACGACCCAGAATTCACGGCTTATGCTCTTCACCTTTTTGACGCGCCCATCCTAAATTCGTCATAATTTTGTTTGGGTCCATTCCAGAACCTTTCTATGGTTTTCTCAGACAATTGCTATGCCAGGATGGTTTCAGAAAGCAACAGCCCAATACAAACTTTTTCAAATTGCCCCATTCTTTTTGAAAGCTAATTTATTCTGTGCGTTTTAAAAGATGCTTGTAACGCAGTCTCCTTCAAAATTCCAATACAAAGTCTTCACAGATCTTAAAAGAACAATGATCAGATTTAGATGGAAACATAAAAATCCAGGATAGCTAAAAGAATCCTGAACAATAAAAACTGCTGGAGGTGTCACCGTTCCTGAGTTCAAGTTGCACTACAGAGCTATAGTAATAAATACAGCGTGATATATGAACAAAAACAGACATGCTGATAGAATTGAATTGAAGATGCAGACAAAGATCCATCAGGCAATATTTACATCTGCAGTGGAGAGTACTACAGGAATCCTGAGTTTGGGGACCCCAAATCATTTGAAATGGCTTGAGCACATGTCTGTTCTAGGAGACAGTGTCTCTATCTTCCTAAAGGCTAAAGCTAGCCTTCCCATTGATCTAGGTAGAGCCAGATTCTACCTGAATCCCCATGGTTGTTTGTGATACATACATCCTTCAAAAGACAGTCTGGAGTAAGGTGGTCAGTGCTCTGCCTGGCAAGATGTGCAGTAATGAGTGACCCAGGAAAGTTGTGTCTCAACACCCCATTTCTGGAATCTCAAAAACTTTATGGCATGTTTTCAACTTGATACACTGAATAGAAAGAAAAGAACAGCTAGGCAGTGATGGCACACACCTTTAATCTCAGCACTTGGGAGGCTGAGGCAGGTGGATCTCTCTGAGTTCAAGGAGGCCAGCCTGGTCTTCAAAGTGAGTTCCAGGACAGCTAGGGTGGTTACACAGAGAAACCCTGTCTCAACCAACCAAACAAACAAATGAAAACAAAACAGAAAAAATGACAGTTATGCCCCTGGCTTGTGAGGTCTTGTCCTGTGCTTTGGTTTCCAATATGATTCTTCAACTCAATCTTTAGATGTACAAGTGACCCCCTTAACAGAGCACAAACAATGCTAAGAATGAGTTCCATTTTAGCCTTCCCTACTTTATTACATAGAGGTTGGATATAGTAGGAGAATAATATTCTGAACTTGAGACCCAATCCTGCCATTGACTACACTGGCCCTCAGTTTTCCTGTCTGCTAAATTCTAAAAACTGTGAAACAATGGAGAAATGCTACAAATATTCAGAGAACACCAAAGTAAAATTCTCTCTTTTTTTGGGGGGGGGGGCAGTTTGAGACAGGGTTTCTCAGTAGCTATGGAGTCAGTCCTGGAACTCGCTCTGTAGACCAGGCTGACTTTGAACTCACAGAGATCCGCCTCCCTCTGCCTCTCGAGTGCTGGTATTAAAGGCTATGCCACCACCACCCAGTAAAATTCTCTATCTTGAATGTAGTTTGATGTCACTGCTCCCACAATTATGTGGGAGGGGCATAATCTACTAAATTGAAGAAGTGGGCACATGAGATGGCTCCACAGGTAAGGGGCCCTGCCATCCATCCTGAGGCTCTGAGTTCAATTTCTGGGATCCACATGGTGGAGGGGGAGAGCTAACTTACACACGCACACACACACATGCTGCACATGTAATAAATATTTGCAATAATTTTTTTTAAGTAAGTAGGGGTGTGGTACAGAGATAAAGGGTTTCATAGCATGTGCATAGTCTTGGATTCCACCCCTACACAACCAGGGAAAAAAAGTAAAATAAGAAAAAGAAAGTCCTAACAGATAGAGTAATAAAGATAAAGGGCCTGGTGTGAGAGAGGCAGCAATCTATCTCCCGGGATAATTATCCTTACCGAGTCATGAATAGATGCTGGGGAGCTGTGAGACTGGGGGCTGATTTTTGCCATATTTTATTTCTTAAACTACATGTGTGTGTTACAGTTAAGATAAAAATGAGCTTCAAGACATAATGCACGGAGGGGGGAGGAACTTGAACTTCCCACAGGGCTGGAAGCCCTGACTGCTCTTAGGGATGGAGAGGGAGGAGGAGGGGGAGGGGGGGAGTGGGAGTGTGTTGGGAGGAGGGGCGGAAATGGAAACTTTCATAATTTAATAAACTAAAAAAAAAGACATAATGCATTAATTGGTTCATGGCCAGGGGACAGTTCAGTGGCGATTGGCTGAAGCAGGGTGGGAGGGAGCCCTGAGGAATAAAGGGAACACGAACACAGAGTGGGAGGTGACACTATCAGGAAACTGCAATTTATGCTTACAGTTCTTGCACAATTGTTTTTTGTCTAGTGCCAGCCCTGGCTACATCTTTGATGGCACATCATAGCCTGTGTTTGAGTGCTAACCACCTCGAGAAGCTGCACTAACTCGTTTGGGGCATGTATGGGAAGTCACATCTCATGCGCCATCATCACAGCCAGAGATGAAGTTCATACATCTTTGCTGAGTGCCTAAGTCAGTGTCAAGGGGTGCTTTGACTCTCTGGAGGCAGATTGCATTGTTTATGAAAGACATGTGGAGGGGAGACTGAGAAGGGCACAACAAGAACATTGCCTCTTCTCCTTACGTTTCTGTAGGCCTGGAGAATTTAAATTGCAATTCTCCCGGGGAGAGATGATGATCTGACGCTCTGAATTGCAGTTAGCAATTGTTATTGCTCAATAAATATCATGGTAGTAATTCTTGGAGGGCTGGGATGCCTGCGGTTTGAACAAAGCTGTCACCAGTTGTGAGGAGCTGAGCTTAAAGTGCTGTCATATTTCTAGCCGAGTCGCAAGCCTTAAGCCCCTGGTAGCCTGCTCATCATGTGGTATTTCCTCAGCATCGCTCCTCAGGGCTGAGCAGCCGCAAGGGCCTCTGAGCTCCCCGAGAGCCCCAGTTTGCTCTTCGTGGGTTGTATATCAACTCTAATCTGTACTCAAGAGTTGGGAAAGTGGCTGTTCAGAAAGGAAACTATAATTAGGGTTAGCGGGCCTCTACATCCTCTTCTGTTTGTTAGAGAATCTGAGCAAGCAGCTATTATATACAAAACACAGCACTGGAGAGTGTGGGAGTGAGCCTGTCACAAGCACCCCTATGTCTCAGAGCTTAGATGGAGGCAGGCTTGGACTAGCAGTGATGGGCCAAATGCTTTCCTAGAGTGTAAGCTCTGCCTCCAGGGGACCTGACCTTGGATTCCCTACTTCTTAGTTGCATACTTATAAACTGATGACTTCCTTTGTGGACAGCTTTATTCTAAGATGGAGTAATTATAATGACAATTGAATTACTTCTTGCTCAGCAAAGTGTCTCATGCCCAGTAAGAGCTCTTTTCATTTTCTCTTTCCTTCTTCATCTCCTTTTTCCTCATTTCATTTCTTAAATTAAAAAAAAAAAGACTTATTGAAGCTGGCTGGTGGTGGCACGTGCTTTTAATCCTAGCACTTGGGAGGCGGAGGCAGGTAGATCTCTGTGAGTTTGAGGCCAACTGGTCTACAGAGAGAGTTTCAAGACAGCCAAGGCTACACAGAGAAATCCTATCTCAAGAAACAAAACAAACAAAAAAGGCATTGATTTTGTGTGTCTGTGTGTGCGCATGCATGCATGAGAGCATATGCCTGCAGTGCCTGGGGAGGCCAGAAGAGGGAGTCGGATCCTCTATATGATACACATGGTTTTGAGTCACCATGTGGGTGCTGGGAACTAAACCTGGGTCCTCCACATGAACAGCCGGTTCTCATAACTGCTGAGCCATCTTCCCAGCTCATCAATTCTTCTGTGACTATGTCTCACTATGCAGCCCAGGAGAGTAACAATCGATCTTGAGCTCTTCCTGACTCGGCCTCCTGGGATGCTGGAATCACAGGGATGCACACAGCTTTATGACTAAACAATATATTCTAACAAATGCATTATTACTAGAAAGGGTAGTGGGAAGAACCGCTCTAGATGGGTTTTCCTGAGGTTAACTCTGAGAGCAGCGGCTGCACTGAGCACCAGACTGGATTTTCATGTAACGGGAACAGGACAGGCTGGCATCTCAGCGTTGAGATGAAACAATGCACAGCCAAGGGACGTGGATGTTTTCACTTCTTTAGCAATCAGATATGTTTTCTGAAAGGACTAATCCAAATTAGAAAAGACATCAAATGCCACAGGAATTCAAATTGTATGGTGTTGGCAGAGAGAATTAGGGAGTCTTCACTAGCTGGATTGAGAGGAACAGAATAGAATTCCTGCTGCTCCTTGGACACTGGAGATGTGATGTCGCCAAGGGACTGGGTGGGGGAGGTTTGGGTGAGTGGGCAGTGACTGTGCCTTTGACGAATACAGAACCCAAGAAGGTCTGATTTACAAGGAAAATAGTGATTGGTTGTTTATGTTTTTAATTGGTGGTTATCTTAGTTCTCAAGATTATTCAATTTTTTTCCAAGAAAATATTTCTTAAATAAATGAGTCTAAGAAAGCTAAAATTTTGAGTCATTCACATTATGAGTGATATGACTTTCAAATGGCTCCCCACGAGCAGTGCCAGGAAGTCACATAATACGTAATGAATTATGTCATGGCTTTCGGCATAAGGATACATTAGGCATATTAACATTCTGGGCACTCTCTCCAATCCCTCTGCATCCCTTCACACCTTAACAGCACTGGAGCATATAGAGTGATGATTACTAATAATTTAGCAGGAAGAATAGATCTTCACATTCATATTGATTTATCTTTGCACCCGCTTAAATGACCTCCAATAAATATTTAAAAGCTATGTATTCGCTTACCAATAAGGCATGCATCAAGAGTCATTACAGAATATTCTCCCAATGCTAAATTTGGTTGAAGAGTGAGCAAATTGAATTTCAAACAAGATGTCCCTTTTGAGTGGCAAATGCTTTTATTTTCCTTACTGACAGATTCATACTGAGATGAATCCCTGAATTCAGTGGTCTTTTGTACATGCCTCAGACAAATAAGCAAAGGGAATACTAATTCACCTTCCAACTCTTGAAAATCCATTATTATAGTCCTGGTTAAGATGATTTCTGTTAGCAACATTAGTTACGGTCTTGAACTCTGAAGGTCACAGAAGGATGAGTTGGTCAGGAATTGAAAGTAATGGAGCTGAGTGAGAGGCATCTACCTCCATATTGAAACTATCATCTCAAATTAAGTGAGGATAGATAACAATTGGATTTATTGCAAAACATTCTACTATTCTCTTACCTCCTGACATCTATAAGGTCATGAGGAAAGGTCATAGGCTTATACCAGGAAACTGTCAAGTACCCTTCATTAGGGAGTTTCCCTAGTGAACACTTTCAAAACTAGAGTTATTTCAAAGTCCTTCCTTCCTTCCCCCCCCTTCCTCTTTTCTCCCTCCTTCCTTCCTTTTCTCCCTCCCTCCCTCCTTCTTTCCTCTCCTTTCTTCCCTCTCCTGTGTGTCAGACACCAGTTGTTTAGGAACAGAATGTGTTGTCTCTTGTACTCTTTGGGCTGGCTGGAATACAGACATTGTAGGAAAGCCATTTGAGACCACTAGAAGGGAGGCAGGATAAAGAGATAAGGACTTGGGGCACAACAGAAGAAAGCCACCACATCACCCCCATGAGGCTTATATCTGGACTGTAACATCAGGAAGAAAGTGTAATCTTATTCGACAGTATGCTGGTTCTTGTGCAGCTGAACCTATGTATGGACCAATATAGGTTAAAGTAATTCATGAGCTAGCAAAATTGATTAAAATGAGTTTTGAGAAAGGAAAAAAAATCACCTTGGGATTCTACCAAGCTAATAACTGTCTTCAGATTTGCATATTATCTTCTGTGAATCA